AACCGCTCGATTCTCCTCTACTCCTGGCCGCGTAAAAATCACGCCTATACCACTGCGCGGCCGTCGTCTTTGTTTCATTCACCGGCACTACGTGTCGCGTTACGAGCGTGTACGTACGCACTCGAGTGTGAAGCTCCACCCCCTCAAGGATGAGAGGTCAATCGGGGAGGTGAGGCGAGAAGGAAAGGCGAGATAAGCCTTGTGAAAAAAAGAGAAAAAAAATGTGAGAAAGAAACGAGAGCGAGTGAGAGAGAGAGAGAGAGAGAGAGAGATCCTTGGATTTATCGAAATATCTTTTATAATTAAAGAAACTTCCCCTCCTCGATTTCACCTTTTCGTCACAGTTTACACATCGACGTTTCATTAAAATTCCCAATTCAACGGTTTCGTGTAACAATTTCGTTCTGAATGATCGCATCCTTGTTTATTAGAAAGCGGACGATTTAGAAATTATCTACCTTTTCACGTGTGAATTAATTCGGCGTTTGAGAAATTAGGAAAAGTATCCGAGTAGTTGTATTTCTATCTCACTTTTGTAATTGTGGTTTGATTTATTTTGGATCGGTAGTTAGTGTTTGAGAATAATTTACGTGGAAGTGCTTATGGTGTCTTTTCTGTTCTTGTAAGAAAATTATTTAGATCAAGGTATTAGATTCCATTTTTTTAAGTATCACAATAAAAACGATCAGGTGTTAAATAATTTTTTAAACACTTATTGTTTATTGCAGGAATCGACCATAACGAAAATAGAGAATATGGAAATCCTCGTTTTTATGGACTGAAAATATAAAAATTTCTCTCAGTCAGTATAAAAAAAAAAAACATTCTATTTCGTTCACTTCTTCGACTCGAGAAATTTTCCATTAAATACTGGAAACAATTAATACATGGGCAAATAAATAAACATTAAAAATTTCATGTGAAACATTGAATACATAAAAATTTCCGAATAACCTCTTAATATATGGCCCCATAAGTAAACATTACAAATTTCATATTAAACATTGAATACAAGATAAAAATTAATAAACTAATTTCCCATCAAAAACTTCCATTAATTTTCCTAAAATCTCTCGATCAAATAAAAACCAAGACGAACTCGTCCTCTGAAACTCCCATTTCAATTAAACAACACTCCAATCGAAAATTGTACCAATTAACATTAACAAACATCTTCAAGATTCCTCACAATCTTGAACTATCTTCTGCAACAAGTAACCAACCATAAATTCCCATTGAAAATATCGATATTTCTAATAAAACTCGTGGAAGATGTCGCTAATAACGTCTCGTTTAGAAGCGAAGGAGGACCACGCTAAGCTCGCTTTATTTGGCGAACGAACGAAAGGCAGCGGCGCGGCGCCGCCGTCACGTCACAGCGTTTCGTAAGAGAGAGACTTGCAGAGCCTTGAAGTAGCAGCAGCAACGTGTACATATACCCACCGAATTCAATGGACTTTTAATCAAGCCGAAGGACGCGTAGTACTCCACGTAGTATAGCCGCCGTGTAATTTCACGGTCGAGAGAAAACGAGGGTACTACGACGTACTCGAGCGAGCAGCGCATCCGCGAGACGGAAAGGAAACAGAGAGCGTACGTGTACACACGCTTACTACGATCCGGCGGCGATACACGCCGTGGAAGGAAACGAGAGTGTATAACCCGCGTGCACGCGAACTTTAAATGGACCTTCCGCGGATAACGTGGAATATTTAATGCGGGATCATGGTTAATACGGGGACGAATAATACCCGGAGGAATATTTTGATAGGTTTTTCACAGTGTACGTTAACCCTTTCGTGACAGAATGTATTTTCTTTTTAGTTTGTTAATTTTAGAAACATTTTTGAAAATTTTCTTCTTTATCTGCAGATGGTATTCGATGGATATTAAATTCTGATCAACTTTTATTCCGGTATTCTAGTGGATGTCTGTAAAACCATGAAAGAGTTAACCCCTTAACCTATGATTTCTTTTCTGACAGTGCATCTAAGCGTCAGCCATTTTACTGTTTTAGTTACTGTATCAGGTAACCAAAGCTAATCTGTCACAGATTAAGTTCATTTAGGAATCCTTAATCTTACGAGTTGAAACAAAAGTTAGGATTATAATTAATTTTTCTTACTAATATAACTATTTTTGTCACATCCTCACCGGAATCTCTGTCACGAGTCTGGCACGTTATTGTAGGTTAAAGGGTTAAGGGAAAAGGGTATCGAATGTAAAGGACGAATAATATGGAGTAATATATTGGTTTCAATGAAACGTTCTGAAAGTGTATATTAACCCTTTCGTGGCCGATTTGTTTTTTATAAATTTGTAAATTTGTAGGACACATCAATAGAAATATCTGGGAATTCTTTTTCCCCCCCAGTTTTTCAGTCACTGTGTGTTTCTTAAAAGCTACAGTAGCATTAAGAAAAATTGTTAAAATGAAAGTTTCATGAATTTTTTGGCACTTACTGTCTAAATATGAATAATACAAGTTCCACTCATGATTAGAAGTAAGTTCAGGCTGACTCGAAAAAATCTTTGTCACCATATTCTGTTAAATTAATTGAGAAGATTTCTCGCAATAAATGATACATCTTAAAGACATAGAAAAATTTGTATACACGCATAAACAATCACCGAAACCTGGTAATATACACGATTTAAAACTTTCTTTCGTTAAGTATGTTCGAGAAATTGTAAAGAAATAATGCACATCTTGTTACAGTTAACACAAGCAAGTGGTAATTTCGTGTTGAAAATTCGGCTGTAACGGTCTGTTATCGAGAGAAACAACGTAATTATGTCTGCATATAACGGATCGTATTGTGGTGTATTCAACATTCACGGTATATTCCGCATGCGAATTGTCCGATATGTAAATCGTCGAGCGTGTGAGAGTACGAAGCGGTATTAAGCACAGAAAGTGAAGGATGTCCAGTATATTGAACACGTGATACGAAGGGTACATCGACGATGTCCAACATACTGAACATGTAATGTTAAAGGATATTCACCGCATTAAACACGTAACACGGGGAATTTCTTATACTAATATTACGTGCCGCGTGAAATATCTTCATATACAAGGTGAAGCGTTCACGAATATTTTTCAGCGAGAAACTGGTCTTCACAGTTGAATTCATCGTTTTCTGTTGGAACGAAGGGAACGGAGTATGCATTTATATGTGCATCTTTTAATCTTTCACATTTTCTGCAACAACATTTCATATATCTAACGAAATACAGGAAAAATCTCGGACAATTTTGACAAAATTAAAGTTTCACACATTGGAACGTTCTTCCATTAACCCTTTCGAGGTTACATTAATTATTTTTACAATTGCAAAAGTATCATAGAGGCTCGTAGTAATCGAAGAGGCTAAATTTATCTCACCTTATCAATTTTTTCTCTTATTCTCGGATTTATCGATGATTTTTCAGTGGTTTGTGACATTTCACAATTCAAATGCGAATTTTAAATTCTCGAAATACTAAACGTGGCAAATAATCTCGCTTAAATTATTTTCTTCTTCGTAATAACACAAGTACGCTCTATTTTCCATAAATTTTTCCAACAAGTTCCGAGATTTATCTCGAAATGTGTCAGGTACTTTCGCCTCACCCTGTATATAACAGGCACCGCAATCTGTGCAACGCATATCGCAATGTTTTAGTGCACGAGATGTCTCACTTTGCAGAACGTATCAGAAATCTGTACGAAACACGTAAAATATGATACTTTCAATCTGTACGAAGCTGTTCCGAATACCTCGCACACTGTACAACATTGTACAGGATCGAAAACACCCAACTTACATAACGTAGCCTGGCGTGACATCAGCATACAGGATAATTCCTGAACTCTTCCTCTTCCCCCGCATTACACTCCGACATAGTGCATATTCAATGTGTGCAAGACGTAAAAAGCTATCCACGTGATCTCCAATAGGATAGAGAACGATCACCTTATCTATTCCTGTGCATCATCAGAACACCCACCAGCCACCCACGTCCAACCCCCTGTTGGAGACTCCGTGGGTATTGTAGAACAGACGGTTTTACTTTAGCCAAGCTGGTGTGTGTTCTCATACGAGCAGGCACAGCAACCGAACTAAGAGTCTACGTACTTCGAAATTTTGAACACATTCGGAACGGCGTGACCCACCATGGATCATTGCTGAGTGGATAACAAAAGGTTCGGAACGGTGTGACCCACCGGTTGGTCATTGCTGAGTTGGATAACAAAAAGGATCGAATGAACGGCGTTTTCCGCGGTGGGCGTTTTCCACGCTCCACTGCAAGAAATATAATTCGACTTATATCCACCTCTGTTCACCTTACGAATCATTTCAGTAGAGCGTTGAATTCGTCCTCAACTGTCGAGCAAACTACCGTTTGACTTTTAACGCTATGTCAATTAGAAACAGAAATACGGCGGTTTAACCCTTGGCACTCTGAATTCTTTCTTTCATTTTCTTTCCAATAACTTCGCATTGTTTCAAGTGTCTTGTTTAAAATGTACTCCAAAGGACAATTGGTCGATAGGAACATAGGACACTTTTTTGTTACAAAGAAGGGTCGTATACTTATCTATACTCTGTCCAATTTAAGAATAACCTCGCTCTCGGACCGATTTTCCCGCAGTTCCCGCAGAGAGCGTAACAGAGTGTAAGACGGAGAAAAACGTAGGCGGTTAAGCGGGGGTTTGGACGTTCTAGCCCTGCCTTAGGCACGTCCCCATGCGCGAGGCGAGGTTATTCTTAAATTGGACAGAGTGTAAGTACAAAAAAAATATTGCGAAATACGATACACATTTAAACTGGCAATTTAAAAATCTCGAGCGTGACTCGGCACAGGATTACCTGTGAATAAAATCGACGCGTCGAGTCACTCGACGAAGGAGTGCAAAGGGTTGAATCTCGCTACGAACTTAACGAGCAACCCGACAGATCCGAAGGAATGAAAAACTATCGTCTAAACGCGTTGTGTCTTGACGATTGTTGCAGAGGTGGGAACAGCTGGTCGTCTCGAAGCTGAAATGGGAATTATCCGCCGTAACGCCCGGTGACTTCCTGATGCACATCCTGAGCAGACTGCCGGTGCCGCGTACCTGGGACCCGGTGATGGTCAGGAGGCACGCGCAGACCTTCATCGCCCTCAGCGCCAGAGGTGAGAAACGATCAGGATTACCGGGCTGCATATGTATTTATGTATGTGGGACGAGCGTGCATGCGAATGCGTGCGCGCCGCACCGTGGAAAATTCGAGGGAGCCAAGGTAAATGCCGTGAACGATTCGTTTGTGTGCAGCTCCGGAAAGATAGGGACGAGGCAGGATTAAATGGATCATCTTGGCTACTTTTAGGATTCTACGCGGGCCGTGTGTACCCAGGAGATGTGTTGTAATCGTGGATGAATGCATAAACTCGAGATGTGAATATTAACGGGACGTTGTCAGCTGGATTAAAAATTCTAGCTGCCTGTAGCGAAAATTCGAATCTATGGTTCTATGGATCTGTTGGTTCGCTACTGTGCTGGGGAAATGTTGTTTCGAGTAACGTGTAAATCGAATAAATTAGATTTATTCGTTAGTAGGAGTTTTCGAATAAAACGGAGGAATAGATTTCTTTTTTCAGTTCATTTAAGAATCACTCTTTTTCTCAAACGTCTCGTTAGAAATCTTGTGGGAGCATAGGCATGTTGAGCTATACGAACTTAATTGAATCTATCATTATTGATATAATTTGTATTAAAATCTGTTATTCGAATGAAAATTCAACGAATTTTTATTTTTATTCGACTAAAATTACATAAATTCCTTCCTTAAGGGTTGAATAGTAACGACCCGTGAAACTATATGAAAGTAGTTTGTTCCTAGTACCTGTTTAACTGTTTAAAGGAAACGCGTGTAAAGCGAGGGTGCTTTTTTACACTTGTGAATGATAGATTGCCTCGCGAACGGATACTGTTTTGAATAGAATGAAGCGGGGTATTTTTTTTAGGCTAGTAAGTGTCGCACGAAGAATTTCATGTGAAAATAGTAACCTCAGCTACGTTTTTATGGGTCGAGAACGTGTAAAAGAAGGCAGAATCTTAATTATGAAATTAATATCAATCGCAGGAAACACTTTATATGCGATCTGCTTACACCGATATCAATCTAATGTTTCCTCAATCAAGCAACCTAACGTTTCACCAATTTATAATACCACAACGATTTTCCATTACCGCGAATCGAATTTCCATGGTGATTTTGCATTATTTACTAAAAAAAAATAAAAGTTGCAACTAGAACACGATCTATAAATAATTTCTTCGCGATTCCAGGAAAAATGTTACACTCTTATCAGTTCAGAATACATATATTTCTCGCTGATATTTGAAATATGAATGAACGTGAAATTGTAAAATTAGATTGTTGAACAGTTTCAACTATCTAAGCGCCGTTACGGCGGAGTTCTAGAAAACGAAATTACTATTCGTTCTACTTTTTCACCCTTGTAAAACTCGTTACGGTAAATATTGATATGGCATATTATGCCATATTTTTCATAATATTACTAATCGTCGTTAATAGCAGTCGCGACAAAGACAATTAACGAGAAATGGTGAATTCGTGTATGTCGCATCGACGAGTTTATCGCAGAAATGTCGCACCTCGCGATGAATGTAGCACAGACGAAATCTTATTTGCGTTCTATTTTTTATCGCTATGTGACTCGTCGCAAGTGCTTCGAATATTTTAAATGGAACGATAATACCGAACAACGATAGGGAATATTTCTTTCTCTTTCCATTTTTCTCTCTCTCTCTCTCTCTCTTTTTCCTCTCCATTCTGTAACGCAATTACGCCAGTTTTCACGATTACGTTTAATTTCATTTTCGTGTATTTTAAACCGAGACAACATCTCCCGGAAGTACGTCGAGTGAGCATTCGTTCATTAAAAGGGCCATTATCGTTTCAATCACGAATCGTTTACAATTCTTCACCTTGTTGTACAATATTACTGTAGTATTGCAATTTAGACGACCGTTGGTCGTGTAATTACAGAAACGAGCTTAGTAATTATTGCTAACGATTGAACGAGAAACAGGTAGGTACACACGTTTATATTCTTAGGGTCGGTTCGCTTAAATTAGATCTTTGATCGGAGGATTCATTTTGGAATTTTTCTTCATGAGAAATCTCATGAGAAAGCGAATTAAAGTTCTCTTTGAAATTGAATATTAACGTTGTCTTCTGCATATTAAATTATTCGACGTCCGTCTTTCTGGTTTCACGTTTAATTCTCTGTAAATGACGAGCTCGATAAACGTCTTCTCGAAACAGAGAATTAACCCTTAAATGCATCGTGTTGGCTTTTGGCTACATTTTGCACCGTGGCAAACATGGTAATAAAATTAGATTAAATTAAATGGGAATTAGAAAAATTAGAAAAGTAGGAAAATTAAAAAATTAGAAAACATTAGGAAATTACAAAATTAAGAAAATTTAGGAAATTAGGAAAAGTACAAAATTAAGAAAAATTAGAAACTCCGGAAAATTAAAAAATTAGAAAAAAATTGAACTTTCTGCCGCATGCAGAATCTCTCCCCGTCAAATTTCTCTTCATTTTACTCCCCCTTTGTGGAATAACAAAAGAAACACCTCAAAGGGTTAATAATTTCGGTCATTTTCACTTTTAAAGCGGAAAATTCGAAGTGGAAACGTATCTGAAATTCGATCGCGTTTCTCATTGACTCGTGAATAAAATGGCGCGATACCCTCCGAAGGATTTGCTGCGCAGAGGACTTTTCGGTGCTTATTAGAAATTATAATCGCGTCACGCAACGTGTGATAAATGCGATACGCTTAAAAATGCAATTCGTACGCGCGGGCCCTCATTGTCAGCCTCGTTAGAACCGTGCCACGGCGTCGTAAACAATCGGGAACGTGCATCGTTAACTCACCCGTTAATGAATATGCCGGTACATCGTATAATGCACTCGGCGGAAACCATCACGTAACTACTTTCAATCGATTCTGCGTACTATACGCGTGTATTTTTCCCATTCTGCGCTATTTTTCTCTCGTTTCGTTTCGGTTTAATGGGTCATACGGCGCCCACGATTATCGACAAAGCGTTAAATGGCCACGGTGATGACGTAGCGACACGCACAGTGGTTCAAAAGAGAGAAAAATCCTGGCCGAGAATTTTCGAGACTCGATATTCTAAATGGAGCCAGTCGTTTGGATCGATTGATGTTTGTTGTTCCAAAAATTTCTTACTTGGAGTATTTCGAGAAACGACTGAAACAAGAGGGGAAAAAGTAGATTTTCACTTTCGTTTCTCTTTTTTTCTTACTTACATTCACGATGAAATATGAAGCATTAGAATATCAACGTGTCACGTTATTAATATTCTATTGTGATATTGCAATATTTGAATACTATTTTGAAGTTAACTATTGGAATGGTGAAATATTCAGTCAAGTAGAGTTTTTATAAGAATAAATAGATAAAAATGTGTAAAATCTTTACGAACAAAACTATAAACATTTTCTGTCGTTATGTTATTGTAAACAATCACAAATATTAACAAAAATTTTTGAAATTAGAAACATTGAAAAATGAGAAAATTGAGATTTATTCCTCTTTTGTGGAATGAAAAGAAATTTCTCATATGAATAATAATAATTAATAGTTCTGTGGGTATGGTACAAATCACTCAACAAATCTTCATTCCTAGATAGAAATTATATTATTTCTAGATAGAAATATCTAATAAAATGCACAGAGTATCACAAAAGAAGCGAAATACAAACAAAAATAGTCTCTTGAGAACTCGCTATGTACTTAAGTATCGTCCTCGTACAAAGCTCCATGTTCCTCCATCATTCCAAAACCAAAAGAGAAAAAGAGAAAAAAGAAAGAAGCAAAATACACTCAACACTACCAATTCAAACAAGAAAGGACAAACGAGCAAGAGAACAAGATCAAGGAACGATTATCAAAATCGTCGAGCGAATTCACCTAAAACAGAGGTGGATCGATTAAATCTTACTGGAAAACCGCGGAATCGAAAGAACCTGGAATGAAAGAAGAAGAGAGGGAAGGAAAAAGAAGAAGAAGAAGAAGAAGAAGAGTAAGAAGGGGGCGTCGAACACGAGGGGATCGCGAGACACGTTTAAATCCCCTTCTGGCCGCTGCCAGTCGGTTGTTATTACAAGAGAGGATGGCAAAAAGCAAGGACCATCGTCCTTCGTCGTCTGGCCGGCTCGGTGGTCCCGACTGAAGAAGGAGAAAAGACTAGAAGCGGGCCGGGAGACGATGATTGTTTCTCACGAGCCAAACTAGGTAGCTCGGCGAGCCCGGTTCGAGTCGGTTGACCCTCTTTTTCAGCGACGAAAAGAGAAGCAAACGGCGCCACGAATTCCAGCCGCTTCCTTGAATCGCGGAAGGTCCGTGAACCTGCTGCTCTCTCCCTCGCCTTTTTCGATTCCACGCCCTTGTCACATGGAGGACGCTCGCGACGACGTACACTGGCTAATTTAAACGATTTCCAAGTGGACAAATTTATTAAGAGACGCGTTCCAGGATGTTTTTTTCAAAATATAATTTCAGTTATTCTAGATTTCTACCCTATTAAGATGCAATTTTACAAGCATGTAGTAAGGAAATGAAATGAGAAAGTAGGAACGATATTTAGTAAGCTTTCTAACATTCAGAATGTTGTTTAATTGAAACTTAGAATTTAATTTATAATTGGGGTAACAGATTTTTCGAAGAGTTTTTATGAGATACTCAAGTTAAGTTGAAATAAAAGTGAAATATTCTTGAAAGAAAGGCTGGAGCAAAATGATCCATTAGCAATTTTCCAAAAGTGAAGTTTTAATCAATATTTATACTAGGAAAGTTAATATACATTTCACATAGTTGATAAAACTATTTAAAAAAAAAAAAAAACAACAACTATGAAGTAATGCAGAAAATTTGTCAGCCCCGTGTTCTACAATATAATGCAGATTTTCAGCGGGGAATAAAGATCTCGGGTAAAAACTTAGGGGAGAGATTTGAAGAAGTAGATTTTAATTTTGCCATCAGAAGCGAGCAGGACTAAGTGCAAGCGGCAAGAAAGAAAATAAAAGGAGGAAGCTACCGGAAAGAAAAGAAAGGTAGAAGTAGAAAGACATTAAGAAAGAAAAGGGGCGAAAGAAAGGCAAAATATATGAAGAGGGAAGCTAAGAAAAGGGCATCGAAAGAGAATAGGGAGAAAGAAAGAGACATCGAAAAGAAAAGAACGGCAAAGAGGAAGCATGCCCCTAAGAAAAAGGAAGAAAACGAGTGAAAGAAAGGTAGAATACATCAAGAGGAAGTCCAAGAACGGTCCATCAAGAGAAGAGAACAAAGCCTAATAACCAAGAGAAAAAATTTCAATGGAAATTGCATTGCACCAAGGAAATACGCAAAGACCAGTGCAAAAGTATACAGGAAAAAGAAAAGAGAAAGAGATCTAGCAAGATCAAGTACAAAGTATTACAAATAAAATTATCGAATCAGGAAGAAAACAGATTCTATTCAATGGAATGATGAAAAGTTAACAGAAAGGAATCAGAATCAATCTAGTGGGAGGGTGCTTTTCATTAAAGAATGTCGTTCTTTAATTCACAATCCACGAGGACAACAGAAAGCACCTGCACGAGCTGCTGGAGAACTCCCTTTCTCTCCTTTTCTCTCTTTCGCGGCTCTGCAAATTTAAGAGCGGCTTCGTAGAATTCCATTCTTAATGGCTTTATTACAGCGCGCGAGCACGGTCTCCGTTGAATTTCAGCTCGTCCATCGTACATTTCGTTTGTCCGGGAACCTGCTCCCATCTTTCCATGAATGAATAGCGTCTCACGTTTGAGAAAAATCCGGACAAAACGCGCGCTGGAATATATATTGCCAGCGTAAAGGGATGAATACGATCTCGTCGATGATTGCCATGTTTATTGTCGATTCTGCTTTACGACGGTTTCTTGGATTGTACCCTCTGAGCGAGTTTCATCGAAAGAATTGATTTAACTTGTTAACTGGCACATTCTTTTTTTTATCAGAAATGCTTCGTGGTTGGGTATTATTAACCCTAGGAAGGCCAAGGGATGATAAAAAAATGTCCATAAAGTTGTAAACTTTAATTATTTTTCGTAGAATAACTTGTGTAGGCCTCCAATAAATTTC